CCCCAAAACCCCAAAACCCCTGAATACTATGATTTTCAGTTTTGAGACTATAATAAACTTAAAATTTATTTGATTCGTTAATATTTAAAATGAATCATCTTAATTAGCCGTAAACTCTGAGCCTATCATCTTCCGTCAACCTAAATACTAATAATTCTTAAGATATACTCCCAGATACAGAGCCCAGTTAGCATCAAGAACATAAGTCAGAGAAAAAATAAAAGATTAATCTCAGAAACACATTTATATCTCCTGAATTAGCATACACCAATGAGAGAAAGAAACTTTTCGATAAAATCGGCTATAACAAATATAATTCTAAAATACCATCGTTTCAATAAACAGAAGATTACAAGATTGAAAACTCTAAAAGTATGTCATTCGTGAACCCAAACTCTTGTATCATATAAAACGAGAATTTATTCGTCAGAAAAAGAGCAAAAGCTGATGATTCATTTTATGAAAAGAGAATATTGACTCTATCAAAAAACAGGTAAAAAAGACTTGTGTCTGAAGACAGTTGCCAATAAACAACCAGATCCAAAAATACGGTAGTCCAGAGACTTATTACAATGAGAAAGTATAGAATTTAATTTAAAAACGAATAAAATTTACACTAGCATGCCTTGCTGTATCAGTAGTCTCAACTCAACAAGGAAGGGTCTAATGAAACAATTTAAGATGATGGAGAAATAGGAAAGTCTAATAATCTCCACTAAAGATATAATTCTAGAACTGAGGCTAATGTGACTGTTAATTAAATGTATGATAATGATGAATGTTTAAACACAAGCTACCATCAAGAAAAGATTAAGTATAGTGGCTCTTATATTGTTCAACCTCAGCCGGATGATTACTTATAGAATATTGAGATAGATAACAATAATTCTGGAAACAAGCCAATCTGCAATACTGATACTAAAAATAACTTCATGTCGAAAAGGAAAAATAGACAAAGCAACAGTAAATATAACTTTCTAAAGGATTAAGACATATCTTAAGATTCTAGAATGAATGCAGTTGCAAGATTTGATAGAGAATATTCAATGGAGAATAAGTACTATGCTAGAAATATGCTGGATCAGGATGATGATGGATAACTCTAAAATATGAAGGAAAGATCATTTTTAGCATCAGCACATACTCATAGATAAAAAGCACTCCAACCTCACTCTAAAATACCTACTAATAAAAGTATTGTCTCAATGAATATGATGTAAATCGTTCCATAGATCAAAGGAATAAGCTAGTAATTGCTAATTGAACTCTTCTAGGCGAAATGCATTGATCTAGGCATTACTTCCTCTCAAGATTAGATGATCAGATTCTTCGATATAATTAACAAAGCTCATTTAAAAAAAGAAAGAAAACTCTAGTTAATAGATATGGGATTAGGCGATTAATCTCTGGTGGTAGTTGGAAAAATTATCAAGAAAAATAAGCAATTCTCTACATTGGTATTGATTTTTCCTTTTTTTTAACATTTTATAGGATTTAAGGAAAAACTTTATATCTAATAACGGTATAAAGGAATTTTTAAAATCTTTGAAGCACAATAACTCCTTAGTTCATTTAAATATTGGCTGCAATCAAATTTCCACAGATGGGGCTGTAGCTTTATTTGAGGCTCTTAAAACTCATGACTCTATAGTGTCACTCTCATTAGCTAATACTGATTGCTATAAAAATAAAAATAAGTAACTTACCTCAATTAACTCAACATTTGTTAGGATAGGAATCAAAGGGGCATAAGTTTTGGGAGAACTATTAGCATAAAACTAGATGCTATAATTTTTAGATCTTTCAGATAATAGTATATCTTAAGAGGGACTTCATTATATAATAAAAGGATTGAGATAGGCTGAAAACCTAGTTTCTATTAATTTATCCTAGAATGATCTTGGATCTTATCCATAATGCTTTTCATTGCTACTTACAATATTCAGCCCATCAAAAACCTTATAAAATCAAGTTGCATGTGCATCATTAGAAGAACTTGTTCTCTAATAAAATTAACTGGTTAATAAAAACATTGAAGAATTATCAGCAGTCTTAAAATCATGTGAAAAAACCAAATTACAGAGACTTGACATTTCATAAAATAAGCTGAACTCGAAATCTTTATTGAATATCATATAGACTATGAGGACTAATACACAAATCAAACTAAGTCATCTAATAATGGATAAATCTTCACTTGATATGGGATCATAGTAGGAATAAGTCAACATCTATTGCACTTTAGCAAGGCTCCTAGGTGAATACCTAAGATCGAATAAAACTCTTTGCTGTTTGAGTTTAAATTATTGCTAATTAGGAAAGGAATTAATGAAAGCTATTGGACGAGGTCTAATGTGCAATGAAAAATTAGATACTTTGCTTCTTAAAGGAAATCATTTAGAAGAGGAAAGTATATTAGATTTAATCGATGCTCTGGAATCTAATAAAGATCTAAGACTTAAAATTCTAGACTTATCCTCAAATAGATTAAATGTAAGTATTTATCAAATAATTATATAAAATTTAGGATAAAAGTGGACTATAATTAGCAAGTGCAGTAGCTAAAACAGAAAATTTGGAATAATTAAATCTTAGAGATAACAATCTTGGTTTAGAATGTGGAGATGCCTTCCTATTCCTTGTGTAGTAGAAAAGAAATCTATGGAAGCTTTAACTAGATATGAATATGATTAAGTATGTTAATTTGATGGAGATTGAGAAGACCTGCAAAAAAAATAAAAGGAATGCTAAATAGTTATATATACCAGATATTAAGAAGTAAATCTATCATTATCAGGGGTAAAAAGATCCAAATGTAAAGCTAGATGAAATTGGTCATCAAATTAATGCACAATCCAATTTTATTAAGGAGGGGTTTAACAGAATTATAATTGAGGAAGAAGCTGTACATTAATTGATTAAAGAGGGTCTAGTTGAGCTAAGCCACATAGACAATAAGACTAAGACACTTAAAGAAATTATAAATAAGTAAAATGAGCTTCTACATGAATTGGACCTGCAAAATCAAAGCAAAGAAAAAGAACTATAAAGAAAAGTTGACTTCGAAAAAAGTTTAATTGATAGATATAAGGAGTTTATAGCTGACTAGTAAGGAGTAATAAAGAAAGAAAAAAATCTCTTAGCCAAGAGGAAAATTGCCAGAGGTAATGATGAAGAGAAATCAAGATTGCAGGAGGAACTTAAAAATGTATTGAGAGAGTAAGAATTAATGGCAATGATTATGGATACTTATGAAAAAGAAATTAAGCGCAGAAAAATAGCTATTGAGAATCAGTAAGACTTTGATGATAGCTATCTTGATAGAAATGAATGCCTACATCTTGGCAAAGACAAGCACTCACACTAGAATGCTAACAATAACACACTATTCAAGTTAGCTGGTTCAAAAAAAATAAAATACTCAGATGGCAGAAAAGTTGAGGTCTCATTTAGCAAGGATTCTGATAAACCCAGAGAGTCAAAGAGTAAGAAGGCTTCAAAGAAAAAGTCTACTTCAGATGTAAATAGTGGTGGAGAGATCATAAAAATAAAGAGAAAGAAGTCAAGCAGTAGGAAAATTAAGATGATTGAAAATTTAATCAATACCAAGTAGTGTCTTGAATAATAATGAATATGAAATGTTAATTTAATAAAGATATGCAAGCTAGTTCTTTACACTTTGAATGGTTGATGATGCTTCACCAACCCTCTAGCGATACTCCTCTTTACTCTTCTTCCAAATTTATCTATAACTTCTTATTCCATGAATTACTTCTTAGTCATTATATTTTAGGGATGCTCATCATAGGGATCATAGTGATCATGACTTGGTGAATTAGAGTTACTACAACACTATCTATCTTTACTATTTGCTCTGAGATCAGTATAAAGTATGAATTCACCAGTCTTTGCAATAGATCTAGGCTTTTCAGATTGCTTTCTTAAGCTCAGATTATTTAGTAAATTTTTTGACTTTAAAGGAATTTATCTTCTATTTAGTCTATCATAATCCAAAGTTCTATTATGAGTCGAAACACCATCATGATGAATATGATTTTTAAGTTTGTTATGGCTGTGATAATGCTTAGCATTTATAATTCCAGATAAAGATGTTCCTACTTATCCATCTATATCATTGAGCTTCTTTTTAAGCCTATCTAGCAGTTCTTATTGCTATCTCTAGTACTTTATTTCTTTTTCCCTGTTCTATCTTTTAATTAATTCCTCTTAATTGAGCATTTGCTAGTAGACTTCAGATGGATGATAAGTGTATTACTCTTCATAATTTGTTTATCTTAATTTAGGATGAAGAAGAAAACTCTGATATTCCTCAAGTCTACTTTAGTATCCCCTGAATTCATCCATCTTAGGTAACTTTAAGTAGTTACTTTGATATTTCAAAGACTAATCCTCAATGTAGGGTTGATAAGCTTTATTTTATTAAATTTCAGGAGTTCTTGATCTCAATAAATCTTCTTACTGATATGTCTAGTTCAACATACTCTTGCTGGAATGCTATTACTAAGTATTTTATTAATTGTGATTATATGATCTACCTTGAGTTTGATCAGAAAATATCTACTTGGCTAATTATGTTAAATTTTAACTTTATAGATTAAAAGTCTTGCTATTGTTACCTATCGTATTTCTTGATAAATCCTATATTGTCTTCTTCAAAGTATCAAGCTGCTTTTATTAATTTCTAATTGGTTACTACTGCCTTATTGACTAAACTTAATCTTCTTATATTTACTAATTAAAATTGTCATGATCTTAAATTTTCATTTGTTTCATTCTAACTTATTACTTTTTAAACTATTCTTCAGCTTCTTATAATTATTCTTAAACTACAGAAGATCCATTGTGCTTCATTCTCTTTGCCTCTCTTAGTTCTTTTTCTATATCTTATCTTAACTTTTTTAAATTTTCAGCTGCGTTTTTACTTACATTTTCTATCCAATTCATATCCTCTCTCTATTTTATTAAGCCCTATTAAATTTTTTGTTTTTCTGAAACCGAATTAGCCATTTATTCCAAAGAATCTCTAATTTACTAAATTCCTCTTATTTTATTTTCTTAATAATAATCTCTAGAATCAATGTAATTAGTATTGTTTTAATATTCCTGCAACATATCCTGCTCATTTATTTGAGTTTAATTTGATCTATTCCCTTATAACTGGTTTTATTATCCAAAATTTCTATTTGACTTGAGATGATTGTTTTTAGGCAGAAAATTGTCATAATTTTTAAGATAATTCAACTTCTCGTAAGACTCTCTAATTTTGTTTTCATATTACATATTATTTTATCTTTTTTAATGTTCCCAAAAGTCATAATTCATTCTATCATTGGTTTCTTACTGATCATTAGTACTCTCTCCGATTTACTGATGATCTCTCTAAACTTATTTCTAAATACTTCTGCGCAACTCAATCTTCATCGATTCTTTATCTTAAACTATTCTTTATAACTCTTTTTATCTCTAATCTTTTAAAATTTCATTTCTATGTGATCTTTTCGAACTTAATACTTCTAGTCTATGCTTTAATTCAGAATTGTTTGTTTAAGATCTACTATTTGTACCACTAAGTTGGGATTAATTTACACCACTATCAGATTAATCGTCATAAAATTTAGACTCATATGTTTGATTCAGTGATGCATTGCTCATCTATTTCTTTTTATAATCTTGATCAATATCTCGAATGCTTTGATTAAACTGTGATAAGCTATTCCTGTGAGTATCTCTTTTGAGAATTTTCCTTGCATTATCGGTTATGCTTATATTCCTATTCTCAAGCATTTTGTCTATTTATGGAAGAGATATATCTTTCAAAGGTATAATTTTATTTAAAGGCTCCTCTGGGACATCAGTAAGTGATTTACCAGATAGTAAATGCAATTTATCATCTTCTAAATACTACTTATTTATTTTTTTCTCTCTCAACTTTAATTCATTATCATTTAAGAGTCTCATTTATGGCTTCTTTTTTAATGCAGGTTTACAACTATTGAAGAACGGTTAATTAATAAATGATTTGCTATTTTTAGCATGATCACAACTATCCATTCCTTAGAGATCCATGATATGAGGATCAGCTCCTTTTGAGATCAAGTAAGTGACTGCTTATTACTTCTCATACATGATAGCTAAGGTTAACGGTGTTTTACCATCTCTATTACAGTATTCTAAAGTTTCTACTCCACCTCTAGAAAGTAATTTGTTTGCCATTTCAAAGTTACTCAGAAGAACATATCTTGAGAATACTGTAAACCCTTCAGGATCTTCTTGATTGATATTATGAACCCTAAAGCTAAGGTAATTGACAAGATCTATTTAATGTAAACTAGCTGCATAAGTGAAAGGAGTATAACCTTAATGATTGTAGGTTTCATCCAAATTTATACCAGTATCACAAATAAGCTCTAAGACTAGCAAGTTGCCAACCTTTATTGAGAAGAATAATGGAGAGAATTCAGCAAACTCTATATCATAGCAATGAACTTTTGCTTTCCTATCAATTAGATATTTGACGCACTTAAGATCACCAGATTTAATGGCTAAATATAACGGGGATACACCCTACTTATTTGTTTAATTCACATCTGTTCCAGCTTTGTAAAGAATATCGAGTATTTACAGATTTCCCTTGTACGCTGCTATTCCAAGAGCAGTGACTCCATTATTTTTAGAATAGCCAAGAGGATAATGAATGTCAATCAAGGTTTAGATAACAAGTAAATTTTCTTTCTTAACAGCAATGTGAAGTGCGTTAGACCCATTCTGATTTTTGCACATCAAATCAATACCCTTTGATATCAATATTCTCATGACCTAGACTATTATTATTAAATTACTAATTACTTCAATCTTTCCATAAAATGCTGCAATCCAAAATGCATTAACTCCATATGAATCAGTCTTATCAATCTCTATCAATTTATTTTTAAGCATAAGCTGAACCATCTCTTTGCTAAGAATAAATGATTTTATTAAGATAATATTACTCTCCCTTTGCACTAGCTACCAACAAAGGAAAAATACCTTCACTGGTAATATTAAAATTTAAGTCAAAATTGTCAGCTCCTCCAAGTTTTTCAAAGGTAAATTTATCACTTTTTTCTATTGCTTCTACAATTTTTTCCTAATATATTTAGCAAATTCAAGATAAATTTACTTAGGTAGGAGTCAATAAAATTCTTTGCTGATCATCCATGCTAGCAGGAGTATCTTCATTGAATTATTAACCAGAAGTAGGTAGTAGTTACATTTTACTACTAATATTGTCTTTGAGGGCCTATCTCTATGATTCCATTTATATCCTCAATAAAATTTATCTAATTTTATATTATTCCAATTTAAATGCTCTATGGGGTTTTGGGGTTTTGGGGTTTTGGGG